CAGCAGCATCAGCAGCATCAGCAGCATCAGCAGCATCTTCATCGTCATCATCATCATCATCATCATCATCATCATCATCATCATCATCATCATGTTATCAAAGAGGTTGGTGCTGATGTGACAGTTTTCACTGATGGATCGACTGTCGCAGGATACCGCGAAGGTGGAGCAGCAGCAGTGGTGATGAATGATAAACCACCACGAACAGTAATCATTAAAACTAAAAGTGCATTCCTTACATCATCTTTTGACGAGGAGTGCCAGGCAATGATGTCTGCTGCACAATGGATTGCTGACAATTGCCACAGTAGAACCAATGTGCTGATCTTGACTGACTGTCAGTCCCTCTGAAATGTCCGGAATTTTGTACTGAACTTTTCTGAATGGTGTGAAAATCATAAGCTGCTTTTAAATATGAAAAAAAAACCAAAAGCTCTTGTTTTTTATTTTAGAATAAAGAAACTGCCCCTGCAGCTACTTAAAATTAAATGTGAAAACATCGAGTAAATGTCAGACTATAAGTATTTGGGTGTTACAATAGAAAACAAACTCAACTGGAGTGTCCACACTTCTCTCCTGCATAAAAAAGTGAACAAAAGACTATTTTCTCTAAGGAAGCTAAAGTATTTTAAAGTAGATAAAACGTTGATGTCCATGTTCTACCATTCAACTATAGAAAGTATAATCAGTTTTTGTATAACAGCATGGGCCGGGAACACAAAACAACAAGATAAAGAAAAATTAAATCGATTAATACCTAAAGCATGTAAAATTTCAATATCTACATTCCCATACTTGGATTAATTGTACGTAACAGCTTTCGCAAACAAATAATAATTCCGTCTTTTTAGACAACAAACAGCTCTTGTTCCCTCCAATAAAAACAGCAGTCAGAAGTAAAAAACCCAGGCTTCTGATCTGTAACAAAAAAAACTATAGAAGGTCATTTTTACCATCATCTATTAAAATGCTTCCATCTTAACCATCTGGTATAAGTATACTTACGACCTAGAGCATGCATAATTTAACATTGAGTGTGTTTATCTTAAGATTATTATTGTTTATATTGCTTCTCATTTATATTATGCATCTGATTGTAAGCCTACGTGTGTTTGCATGTGTGTGTGTGTGTGTATGTGTGT